TTACTAGCCTCTCTGCCCGTTCCTGTTCGGCAAAGCCCGGTCGGGACCCATACCTGCTGGGGAACCGCTTACGAGAGGCTACTATTTTTCTTACTCGTAGTCTTACTAGAACTAGTATTACTTCTTTACTACTATTAGTACTAATTCTACTTATATTGCTGCTACTGCTACTGCTACTGCTACTGCTACTGCTACTGCTACTACTACTACTACTACTACTCCTACTACTACTACTGCTACTGCTACTGCTACTGCTACTGCTACTGCTACTGCTACTGCTACTACAACTTTTTTCCACTTTTTGCCAAAACAACTCCGAAACTGATTTTCGCACAATGAAAATGATGTTTGGCTAATGTTTGGGTTTTGCAGGCACTGCCTCAATTTCGATGCCTGAAAACGACTTTCGCCATATGAAAATGGCATTTGGCTGCTGATTGAACCTCTGCCGGCCACGACTGGATTTCGACAGCTGAAAGTGATTTTCGCAAAATGAAAATGCCGTTGGCAATGGATCTGTCAATTTCACTGTACACTGGTTAGATGTACGAATTCTAATAGTTGATGATGATAATCATGACCCCAATCCAAGAAACAGCATACGCAATTTAGTCATCAAAAAACCGTGGTTTTGGACACTGCTTACTTAGATGCTGCAAACACTCGGCCCCACCACCAGTTTCAAACATTCAAAAACCAAATCCCTCTGCTGCAACATAACATTACTATTTGCTATTCATCCACACCCATTCTGTCAAAGACCTCTCGTCCTGCAACACTACACAACACGAACCGAACCGAACCGCCATGTCACACGAACCGAACCGAACCGAACCGCCATGTCACGCGAACCGAGACGAACCGGCCTGCTGATGAACCGAACCGCCCCTATTTGAGGTTTCCACGAACCGAAACGAACCTAAACGAACCGAAGCCTTCCTGTACAGTGCTTGTTTTTCTTGTCGTTCTCACTTTCAACACCATTCCAAGCCCAAGTTCAGAAAAAATCTTTTGTGGGCAGACTTCTGGCCTGCAAATCGGTGCAACATCATCTCAATCCGAACCAAACTGAAATCTAAAGAGTTCTAAAGGCTGCCGCGAACTATGTCGTAAACTGCATGAACTGAGTCAATATTGCATAAACTATATGAACTCTATGAATGAATATGAGTCGTAAGCCGTATGCCGTATGAAACCATCTATCTGAGACACTCAAAGACACTCAGAGACACTTACTCTAATCTCCACAAGTGCAGTCAATATCACCCATGAGAGCTAACGGATATTTTAAAGCCGTCCAATCCGGAAACGGGCCCATGAGCGCGGACTCTCCTGGCAACGCTTGTAATCACTTGTAATTTTGGTAACCATTTTGGTAACCGCTTTGGTTTGCCATCGAATCTATTTGAATCTACTGGCAAAACTCGCAAACAAAGCGTTCGCCGTTTCTTGTGGCTGGCTCGGTCCATCAGCTAAGTTTGATAAACTCACCCGCTGTGTGTAGCCCAAGTGTGGAGGTGCTGGACAGAATATGCAAGGAAGCTGGATGGAAGCTGGTAAAGCAGCTGGTGCTGGTGCTAACTGGTGTCTGCTTGACATGAGGTGGGTCAAAAAAAGGGGGAACTCTTTCGCTGCCGAAACCTTGTATATCTTTATACATATTTTACTCCTTCACCAATGTTTAAATCAAGAATGACAGCCATTTGCGGCCTCTGTTGGACTTCGGATGGTCCCCGCACGTTCCCTCCTCGTTTCCCATGGTCAACGTGACAATGGATACCTCTTGCGAGTTTTTCATCGTTGGCATATGTTGGCAGCATAGACACCGTGTGGACACCGCATGGACTCATGGAAAGAAGGTGGCACCGTGTGCCGAGTTGTGGGACAATGCACTTCCTCAAGTGGATGCCTTGGGAAAGCTCTGAGTGTATCTTGATGTGCTAAAGGCAAGCAGGACGATGTGCAACAAACGCATTTTGCTTTTGTCTGATATTTTTTGTCTGCATGTAATGAATGTTCACATATGTTCATATCAAATATATTCACATATATTGATATCTAAGAATCTAGTTATTTTTAATATATTTTGTAGTTATAAATTAAGTTTTATCCATGAATCACGAGACAGGTGTCTCAGATTGTCTCTGGCCTTTTCGCTTTGAGGCGCACGCCCACCCTGCAGCCCTCTTCTTGATGGACGTGCCCTCTTCCTGTGTCGCACGATGCGAGTCGCAGAACGCGGCCCTCACGACTTGGGAGGTGGAAGTGGACGAAGTGGAAGTGTAAGTGGAAGTGGACTCAACTGGAACTGACATGACAATCTGACCAAATCTGACCAAATCTGACCAAATGTGACCAATCTGAACTGATTACAATGGTCCTGACAACATCTGACAACTCTGAGTGTCAATGTAGTCTGTCTTAATGCTCACTCTGGGATATCGAAGTGCATGGTTCAAGCAAATGCCTCTATAGTACTATACTTTGTGTGATCCCCACCGCCAAATAGGCTCTTGACATTGGGTCTATACTGAAATTCTGACAAGATTTGATCTGACAAGGTTCATGACAGAGTCTGGGCTCTGGGGATGGGGGTTTGTGGTGTGTGGTATGTGTAGTACACGTGTAGTACACATGATGTGTGGTGAGCTGACTCGGATACTCTTCGACTCTGCGAGGTCCAGGAGGTCCAGGAGGTCGATCCGATCCGACAAGATCCGCAAGGAGCTCCGCAAGCTCCGCAAGGTCCGGATGGCGAAATCAATGGTCCCTCAAAAAGTCTCAAAAAGTCTCAAAAAGTCTCAAAACACACAACGAATCACAACGATTGCCTTTTGAGCACTTGTCCTTTTGTCCTTTCAATCCTTTGCGGTTTCTTTTCGACAACGTCAAGATCTCCTGGATTTTTTTTTGCCTTGGGCCCGATGAGTATATGCTACGCTTCTTAAAATCCAACTTCAAAAGTCTGACACATGACGCAAGAAATATCAAAAAATCTCAAAGATGTCGCAGTCACAGCATAAACCGGCCGTGAGCAATTATAGATGTGGCAATTGCTGCCCCTCACGTCCCTTGCTACAGCAAAAAATAACTCCAGCAAACTCCAATTGGCCCTTGTGACTTGTTGTGACTTGTCTGTCCTTGTGCCTAAGTATGACCCAACTGATCCAGCTGATCCATTATCTTAGTGCCTTGGTGCTCATCATTTTGGAGCTGCCAACACCGCCAAATAAACAAAAAACCTTAGAGATTTGTTTTTTATGGAAACCAAAGTGTGGGCAAAACCATGAACTAAAACTGGAGCGCATGGAGGGCATGGATTGTTAAATAAGAATAAACCAAATAATGCAGAGCTGATATACATATTTATAGCCATGATATTTCTTATGACTCAAATGTATGTACTATTAAGTATTCAAATTGTTCAAAATTAAAAAGTATACATATACACTTAATTTAAAAACAAAAATTAGTTAGAGTCCAACAAAGATTGATTTAAAATTAAAATTTTTTAAAAAAAAACTATATTGATCATTTTAGATCTAAATTTTCTATATCCATTTTCGGTTTCCAAATGTCGGAGTTTCGAACGTGCCGTGCACCTTCTCAGTGGCAGCCAGGAACTGGGGATCCTGAGGGCACATCGTCGTTGGAACACGTTTCGACAATACGGTTTTCCAAATTTTCAAATACGTTAAATGTTGCTTCAGCGGCGCCGTTCGCAACCACAAAGGAAAACACATATGTTATATTTCCATATTAATAAAGTTAGCATTAGCATCCCACACATGTACAAGAAGGCGCATGATGCTGACATGTTCTTGGAACTTCTGAGACGCTCTTGGCGCTACGCTGCTGACATGTTCTTGGAACTTCTGAGACGCTCTTGGTGCTACGCTGCTGACATGTTCTTGGAACTTCTGAGACGCTCTTGGCGCTACGCTGCTGACATGTTCTTGGAACTTCTGAGACGCTCTTGGTGCTACGCTGCTGACATGTTCTTGGAACTTCTGAGACGCTCTTGGCGCTACGCTGCTGACATGTTCTTGGAACTTCTGAGACGCTCTTGGCGCTACGCTGCTGACATGTTCTTGGAACTTCTGAGACGCTCTTGGCGCTACGCTGCTGACATGTTCTTGGAACTTCTGAGACGCTCTTGATGCCACGCTGCTGACATGTTCTTGGAACTTCTGAGACGCTCTTGGTGCTACGCTGCTGACATGTTCTTGGAACTTCTGAGACGCTCTTGGTGCTACGCTGCTGACATGTTCTTGGAACTTCTGAGACGCTCTTGGCGCTACGCTGCTGACATGTTCTTGGAACTTCTAAGACGCTCTTGGTGCCACGCTGCTGACATGCTCTTGAAACTTCTGAGACGCTCTTGGTGCCACGCTGCTGACATGTTCTTGGAACTTCTGAGACGCTCTTGGTGCTACGCTGCTGACATGGAACTTCTGAGACGCTCTTGGCGCTACGCTGCTGACATGTTCTTGGAACTTCTGAGACGCTCTTGGTGCCACGCTGCTGACATGTTCTTGGAACTTCTGAGACGCTCTTGGTGCCACGCTGCTGACATGGAACTTCTGAGACGCTCTTGGTGCTACGCTGCTGACATGGAACTTCTGAGACGCTCTTGGCGCTACGCTGCTGACATGTTCTTGGAACTTCTGAGACGCTCTTGGTGCCACGCTGCTGACATGTTCTTGGAACTTCTGAGACGCTCTTGGTGCTACGCTGCTGACATGTTCTTGGAACTTCTGAGACGCTCGTGGCGCTACGCTGCTGACATGTTCTTGGAACTTCTAAGACGCTCTTGGTGCCACGCTGCTGACATGTTCTTGGAACTTCTGAGACGCTCTTGGTGCCACGCTGCTGACATGTTCTTGGAACTTCTGAAACGCTCTTGACGCTACGCTGCTGACAGCCCTGATGACCAGCCCTCCACGTGGGCAGGGTGGGCCTCGGCCTCACGGCTGGGGTGCAAACACTGGATCCCGTTCATGTACTTCGACACTGGCTGGCTTTGTGGGCTCCCCCTCACATGGACAATTTTGCATTTTTGCTCCTGGTTTTTGGGATGCCTGCAATCACTGCAGGCCATCGCTGCGGAGCTGTTTGCCAGGCTCCTCGTGAGTTGGTTCTTTTTTGGAATTTGCCATTGGCTTCTGCCACATCGCTCTACGGCGTGGTGCTTTGGCCTTGGTGCGGTGCTGGGCGGCCTCCTGGCTGACCTAGCCTCCTGGAGTGGCGCATCTCTTTGCACATTTTTTCTGCGGCGCCACCGCGGTGGCAGCAAATTGGTTTGGCGCGCTCAATGGATCTGCTGTCGACGCTACCGGTGCTCTCGCCTTCATATGCAACGAGAGCCACCATGTTCAGTGGCCTTTTTGGCAGGGGTGATCCGTGCTCGACACGTTCCCTGCCTTCGCCTGACCGCGCAACTGGTCTTGCCACTCCTGAGGGGGGGCGGCGCAGGCGGCAAGCATGAGGCCCTTCTGCAAGGCCTTTCGGCACTTCTGGCTGACAACCCTTCCGAAGAGGAGGACCCGGCCACTGAAGATTTGCTGCATGATTTGCAACAGTTGCTCCATCGACGACCTCGCAATGTCTTACAGGAGTTGAAGAGCTTGGTTCGTAAACACACCAAACCTTGCAGTCCAGCACAGCCTACATCTGCTTCTCGCTCCTGGTCCGAAGTTGTGCGGGGCAATGCCTCTACAGTATACCGAAGTGATGCATCTAATCATAATCCTGCCCCTATCTTAATGCCTCTGCCCCCACGACTGGGCATTTCTGCTTTCCCACTTCTGGCACTTGGCGGCCCCGGGTCGGCCAACCATGGCATAATCCCATTGACGGTTTTGTAAGTTGTTCTCAGTTGCGACCCAACCAATCCCTTCAAGTCCTTAAACGTGAAGTTTTTACCCCGCATGCCCCAATAATTTGTGCCGTCCCTGCAGCCCTTGAAGAACTTGAGCGCCTTGCCTGGAAACACTCAAACCCTTTTTCATCCGAGTGGAATGCTCAATGTGCCCAGGCATTTGCGCAAAATTTGGCACGACACGAAACCAATGAAGCATGGCACCTCTGGCTTGGCCGTGCCTTTAATCTCTCATCTAGCATCCAGCCATATACGCCTGCATCCTGCGCGGTCCTCCCTGGGCCACAGCATGACCGTGATCAAATTTTTGCGCAGATGCGCCGCATGCGCCAACTGGTCGCGGCTGCTGATGCCACTGGGTGGACCCCTGATGCCCATTCCCAGTACGAATCTTGCGAGGCCACCCTGGCCAACATGGTGGCCGCCAAGCGGACTGCCGCGCTTGACCATTGGCGAAGCCGTATGCGAGACATGCAGTGTGCAGCCCGCTGGGTCCGGCACAGCGAACTGCCTTCCCCTTGCTTCCTTAACAGTGATGGTTCCCCTGCCATGAGCCCTAAAGAGCAAGGTCATGCCATTTCTAGGGAGTGGACGACCCGCTGGACCGAGTCCTCAGAGGCTGACTTGCCTGCCCAGCTGACTGAGGCTCAGGTATTTGCTGCATCCTTAGCATCAGAGGCCACCCCATTCGTGGCTCCGCCAGTTTGGACTCTCACAGATATCACTGCAGCCTTGCGCACCACTGCGGCTGGTTTGGATGGTTTGACATTTCAACATTTTCGGAACCTAGACCAAATATATCTTCAAGCCCTAGCAGATTTTTACACTGCCCTGGACCGAGGCATGCCGTTCCCCAGTTCCTGGTCACAAGCCCGGCTGGTGTGCATTCCCAAAGAAGATGGAGGTACCCGACCCCTGACGGTGCTCCTCGTCGTATACAGAATGTGGGCATCCCGGGCAGCCCGAATTTTAGCTGAGTGGTGCATACCTTGGTTCTCTCCACAGTTGATTGGTGGCCTGCGAGGCAGCCCTCCTGCTTCAGCCACGGCCAACTTAGTTTCAGCTTATTTAGCTTCTGCCTATAAGAAAGAATTTCTTGCTGGCGCTTGCCTGGATACTGTAAAATGTTTTGATTCCATCAGCCTATATAGCCTCGAATTGTTGTGCCGGGCATGCCACGCCCCACAATTTCTTTTGAACATCTTGCGCCTTTGGCATAGCCTGCAGCGCCACGTCTGGACGCCAGATGGACCCACGGGCGTTGTCATTCACCTGCCCAGGCAGAAAGGCATCCCTCAGGGGGATCCAGTTGCCCCATGGGCACTAAACTTGGTCATGGCTGCTTGGATCCGGGGACTGCCGTCCCTCACGTTATGTCGTGTCTACCTTGATGACCGTTGCCTGCTTGACACACGGGTTGCTCGCCTGTCTTGCGCCCTGGATTACACCAGCATTTTTGATGCAACATTCGGCATGCAGGTACACCCACAGAAATCCTGTAGATTCTACACTTGGCATACCAATGAAGCATTTCAGGGATCTTGGTGCACTCTTCCCCTTAAGGTAACCTTGAAATATTTGGGTGTGCAACTTGAAACCACCGCCAATAGTCCCTACATGATAGGAGCTGCAAGGACCGCTGTCCTCACAGCGAAGATTGAACGTGCACGCCTTTTGCCGGAGCCAAATGTCCGCAGAGCACTTCTTGCCAGCTACATGTCTGGACTGTATGCTGAAGGCGTAGGTATCACTGTTTCGACTGCCAGAAAGTTGACCACAGCTGTTTGCCAAGCCTGGTGGGGTCCCACATTGCACCCCCGAAACCATATGCGTAGTGTTGCCATCACTCTGGGCCTCCTAGGACCTTTACATAGATTAGCACCCACCATAGTCCAATGCTATAATATTTTCCTTGCAATGAGCCGCCTGCCCTTGTGGATTCTGACCGATTTGCATGAAGTTTGCACACAGGCCCGCACAGCTGCTCTTGGAATTGCCAGACTGATTCGATGATCCCTTCGTTTGCTAGGTTGGGTATGGCATGCTGATCACACCATCACAGGGCCTAATGCGTTTCAGCTTAATGTGTTGCACCTGTCTTTCGATAACCCACTGGGTAGATGCAGTCAACATGTTTTACGCGATGGCTTACGTAACTTTTGGTGGCGTCACTGGGCACCCCTCCGCCCCAGTCATGAAGGCATTGACCACGGAATTGATAGAAAATGTTCCCTTGCACCTTGGCATGCTATGCGCAGTTCCTCCCTGCGGTTCGGTTCAGATGGCACTGCACTGGGTGTCAGATATGCACGGTTCCTTGCAGATGCCCTGTGGTCTCGACGTCGACGCCACTATGCGGGTAAGATTCAGGACCCAAAATGCCAACGCTGCGGCTTGACCATTGAACCAACAGATCATTTTTTATGGAGTTGTGCACACAATGCCCGCCATTTGCAGGTACTTCGGCGTGAATGGGACCTGGCTGCCACTGTTCCTGGGCCACGTTCCTGTGCTTTGCCCTCTTGTTTGCCTCGCTGCTTGCGACAATGCGGTGTAGTTCCTTCTCATTTGCCAGGCATTAATACTCAACAGATTGCTGCGCTTGAGCGCTACTTCGTTGTGATCCTCCGTGTGTGGGCGGAGTCCAGAGATGGTTGAGGCATTGCTTGTTTGAGCCTGTGTGGCTCGGGTGGGGGGCCCCCCCCTTCACCTCTATCACGCTACGCTGCTGACATGTTCTTGGAACTTCTGAGACGCTCTTGGTGCCACGCTGCTGACATGTTCTTGGAACTTCTGAGACGCTCTTGGCGCTACGCTGCTGACATGTTCTTGGAACTTCTGAGATGCTCTTGGTGCTACGCTGCTGACATGTTCTTGGAACTTCTGAGACGCTCTTGATGCTACGCTGCTGACATGTTCTTGGAACTTCTGAGACGCTCTTGACGCTACGCTGCTGGCATGTTCTTGGAACTTCTGAGACGCTCTTGGCGCTACGCTGCTGACATGTTCTTGGAACTTCTGAGACGCTCTTGGTGCCACGCTGCTGACATGTTCTTGGAACTTCTGAGACGCTCTTGATGCTACGCTGCTGACATGTTCTTGGAACTTCTGAGACGCTCTTGATGCTACGCTGCTGACATGTTCTTGGAACTTCTGAGGCGCTCTTGATGCTACGCTGCTGACATGTTCTTGGAACTTCTCAGACGCTCTTGATGCTACGCTGCTGACATGTCCTTGGAACTTCTGAGACGCTCTTGATGCTACGCTGCTGACATAATCTTGGAACTTCTGAGACGCTCTCGATGCTACGCTGCTGACATGTTCTTGGAACTTCTGAGACGCTCTTGATGCTACGCTGCTGACATGTTCTTGGAACTTCTGAGACGCTCTTGATGCTATGCTGCTGCTGACATGTTCTTGGCACTTCTGAGACGCTCTTGATGCTACGCTGCTGACATGTTCTTGGAACTTCTGAGACGCTCTTGATGCTACGCTGCTGACATGTTCTTGGAACTTCTGAGACGCTCTTGGTGCTATGCTGCTGACATGTTCTTGGAACTTCTGAGACGCTCTTGATGCTACAATGCTGACATGTTCTTGGTACTTTTGAGGCGCTCTTGGTGCCACGCTGCTGACATGTTCTTGGAACTTCTGAGGCGCTCTTGGTGCTACGCTGCTGACATGTTCTTGGAAATTCTGAGACGCTCTTGATGCTACGCTGCTGACATGTTTGTGGAACTTCTGAGGCGCTCTTGATGCTACGCTGCCGGCATGTTTTTGGAACTTCTGAGACGCCCTTCTGAGACGCTCTTGATGCTACGCTGCTGACATGTTCTTGGAACTTCTGAGACGCTCTTGATGCTACGCTGCTGACATGTTCTTGGAACTTCTGAGACGCTCTTGGTGCTACGCTGCTGACATGTTCTTGGAACTTCTGAGACGCTCTTGATGCTACGCTGCTGACATGTTCTTGGAACTTCTGAGACGCTCTTGATGCTACGCTGCTGACATGTTCTTGGAACTTCTGAGACGCTTTTGATGCTACGCTGCTGACATGCTCTTGGAACTTCAGAGACGCTCTTGATGCTACGCTGCTGACATGTTCTTGGAATTTCTGAGACGCTCTTGATGCTACGCTGCTGACATGTTCTTGGAACTTCTGAGACGCTCTTGATGCTACGCTGCTGACATGTTCTTGGAACTTCTGAGGCGCTCTTGATGCTACGCTGCTTGCATGTTCTTGGAACTTCTGAGATGCTCTTGATGCTACGCTGCTGACATGTTCTTGGAACTTCTGAGCTGCACTTGATGCTCGCTGCTGACATGTTCTTGGAACTTCTGAGATGCTCTTGATGCTACGCTGCTGACATGTTTTTGGAGCTTCTGAGACGCTCTTGATGCTACGCTGCTGACATGTTCTTGGAACTTCTGAGACGCTCTTGATTGCTAACTGCTGACATGTTCTTGGAAACTTCTGAGACGGCTTCTTGGTGCTACGCTGATGGCAATGTTCTTGGAAACTTCTGAGACGCTCTGGTGTCTACGATGCTGAAAATGTTCTTGGAAAACTTCTGAGACGCTCTTGTGCTACCCTGCTGACATGTTTTGGAAATTCTGAGACGCTCTTGGTGCCAGCTGCTGACATGTTCTTGGAACTTCTGAGACGCTCTTGGTGCCAGGCTGCAGACATGTTTTTGGGACTTCTGAGACGCTCTTGATGCTACGCTGCTGACATATTCTTGAAACTTCTGGGAAGCTCTTGACGCTACGCTGCTGACATGTTCTTGGAACTTCTGAGACCCTCTTGATGCTACGCTGCTGACATGTTCTTGGAACTTCTGAGACGCTCTTGGTGCTACGCTGCTGGCATGTTCTTGGAACTTCTGAGACGCTCTTGACGCTACGCTACTGACATGTTCTTGGAACTTCTGAGACGCTCTTGATGCTACGCTGCTGACATGTTCTTGGAACTTCTGAGACGCTCTTGGTGCTACGCTGCTGGCATGTTCTTGGAACTTCTGAGATGCTCTTGGTGCTACGCTGCTGACATGTTCTTGGAACTTCTGAGACGCTCTTGGTGCTACGCTGCTGGCATGTTCTTGGAACTTCTGAGACGCTCTTGGTGCTACGCTGCTGACATGTTTTTGGGACTTCTGAGACGCTCTTGATGCTACGCTGCTGACATGTTCTTGGAACTTCTGAGACGCTCTTGATGCTACGCTGCTGACATGTTCTTGGAACTTCTGAGACGCTCTTGGTGCTACGCTGCTGACATGTTCTTGGAACTTCTGAGACGCTCTTGATGCTACGCTGCTGACATGTTCTTGGAACTTCTGAGACGCTCGTGGTGCTACGCTGCTGACATGTTCTTGGAACTTCTGAGACGCTCTTGGCGCTACGCTGCTGACATGTTCTTGGTGTGAGCGCCTTGAGGAGTTCAACGCTTTCGTCGTTTTTCAACACCCCCTGACCCTGGGGTGGGGTTGGGGTTGGGGTGGGGGTCATGTTAACATTCATCTGAAGTTGCACACCCACGTAATGCTACGCTGGGTATGGGGTGGGGTTGGGCTTGGGGTGGGGGTCATGTTAATGTTCATCTGATGTTGCACACCCACGTGATGCTACGCTGGGTATGGGGTGGGGTTGGGGTTGGGGTGGGGGTCATGTTAACGTTCATCTGAAGTTGCACACCCACGTGATGCTACGCTGGGTATGGGGTGGGGTTGGGATTGGGTTGTGGTCAAACACTCCCGTGCAGAGTTCACGCGCAAAAGAGGTCGAGCTCGCACAGCGGGCACGCAGCAGTTGGATAGGCAGTGGCACTATGTAAAGAAAAGTGTGCCGAACCAATGGACAACGACTTCCAAAGGGAAGATCAGAGAGCGAGCTCTCTGGGAATACCTCTGGCGTGGACAGCGGCGTCGCCTCAATGAAGGACACGTGTTCACCAGCCTCGGAAAGTTGTGCAAGCACCACCGAGATGAAAGGTAGAAAAAAAGATTGCCAATGAAGACAGCTTGGAACACAAATGCAAATACATTGCAAAAAACAATGAACTTGAACAAAATCACCCATTTGGGGCGCGCAGTTCTACGTTTTTGCTCATCTGCATATCCACGATCAACATGTTACATACTAAAAAACCTTGCGTTTTCTCACAATATGTCAAAAACATGATGACGCAGACATTGAATATCGCAAACAGTACAGCGCTCCTGCGGGCGCTCTGACCATGTTCTTGGCACTTCTGAGACGCTCTTGGTGCTACGCTGCTGACATGTTCTTGGAACTTCTGAGACGCTCTTGATGCTACGCTGCTGACATGTTCTTGGAACTTCTGAGACGCTCTTGATGCCACGCTGCTGACATGTTCTTGGAACTTCTGAGACGCTCTTGATGCCACGCTGCTGACATGTTCTTGAAACTTCTGAGACGCTCTTGACGCCACGCTGCTGACATGTTCTTGGAACTTCTGAGACGCTCTTGATGCTACGCTGCTGACATGTTCTTGGAACTTCTGAGGCGCTCTTGATGCTACGCTGCTGACATGTTCTTGAAACTTCTGAGACGCTCTTGGTGCTACGCTGCTGGCATGTTCTTGGCACTTCTGGGGCGCTCTTGATGCTACGCTGCTGACATGTTCTTGAAACTTCCGGGACGCTCTTGGTGCTACGCTGCTGCTGACATGGTCTTGGCACTTCTGGGGCGCTCTTGATGCTACGCTGCTGACATGTTCTTGAGACTTCCGAGACGCTCTTGGTGCTACGCTGCTGCTGACATGGTCTTGGAACTTCTGAGGCGCTCTTGGTGACACGCTGCTGACATGTTCTTGGAACTTCTGAGACGCTCTTGGTGCTACGCTGCTGACATGGTCTTGGAACTTCTGAGACGCTCTTGATGCTACGCTGCTGACATGTTCTTGGAACTTCTGAGACGCTCTTGATGCTACGCTGCTGGTATGTTTTTGGAACTTCTGAGGCGCTCTTGGTGCTACGCTGCTGACATGTTCTTGGAACTTCTGAGACGCTCTTGATGCTACGCTGCTGACATGTTCTTGGAACTTCTGAGACGCTCTTGGTGCCACGCTGCTGACATGTTCTTGGAACTTCTGAGACGCTCTTGATGCTACGCTGCTGACATGTTCTTGGAACTTCTGAGACGCTCTTGGTGACACGCTGCTGACATGTTCTTGGAACTTCTGAGACGCTCGATGTTTCGCTGCTGACATTGTTTATTGTCACTTCTGAGACGCTCTTGATGCTACGCTGCTGACATGTTCTTGGAACTTCTGGGACGCTCTCTTACGCTGTGACATGACCGCTCTTGATGCTACGCTGCTGACATGTTCTTGGAACTTCGAGAACTTGTTCTGGAGAGCGCTCTTGATGCCACGCTGCTGACATGTTCTTGGAACTTCTGAGACGCTCTTGATGCTACGCGCTGCTGACAACGACGTGACATGTTCTTGGAACTTCTGAGACGCTCTTGATGCCACGCTGCTGACTGTTCTTGGAACTTATGGGACGCTATTGATGCTACGCTGCTGACATGTTCTTGGAACTTCTGAGACGCTCTTGATGCTACGCTGCTGACATGTTCTTGGAACTTCTGAGACGCTCTTGAGACGCTGCCACTTGGAACTTCTGAGACGCTCCTTG